ACTTCTGATTCATTCCAAGTGAGATACGCATGCACACCACTCCTGTGTTGTCCTTGAAGATTGACAACTCGACTGTTTATGTAAATTGTCTAAAGTCACGTATTCAGGAGCCTTATTTGATCTTATATTTTGACTGCCCCTTTAGGCCTATTTCCCCCAAAACTTATCACCAGTTCTAGATAACAGAGGAGTGTTTGCACTAGTCCTGGGGCCTTTGCCTAGAATTGACATGCAGTCGCGTCTGTCTATTCAGCAGAGGCCTGCCCGGCGCCCCGGACCTGGACCGTGTGCGCCCCCTTGCGGTCACCGTGGACGCTAGACGCCTGCACTTGGTTTCTTGCTGGGAGAGAATGGACTTGACCGTGAACCTAAGAACTCAGCGTTGTGACCGCTGCGCACACCCTTCTCAGAGACATTTTGGGGTGCGTTCTCTGGAATTCCTGGAGCACAGTGTTGGGCATTCTTCCCTGGGTCTCCCTGGCGCTCCCGTGGCAGGTTCCTGGGTAGCGGGGCGGCACCCAAACCCAGGAAGGCCAGGGCGCTGGTAATGAGGCCGGTAGAGTCAAGGAGGGTCAAGTGGGGGAGTGATCTCCCATCCTGTGCAGGGAGTCTGGGGTCAGGTTTGAACCCTGGCCCTGTGCTCTTTGGCTGGAAATTCCTCTCGCTGAGCCTCAGCTTTCTCTGTGAATTGGAGATGATAATGGCTGTCCTGCGTCAAGTCACCAGCGCAGCTCTGCAGCTCTGGGACTGAAGTCCCTCTGAAAGGGACTTCTGAAAGCTCTCCATAGACTGGCCTCTCCAACGCCCTGGTAAACCTTGCACCCTCCATCTGCTTGGATCCTGGAAGTGAGGGGTACCTTTTCCTTTAATATCTTGATTAGCATATCAAACATTTGTAGTCTTATTATAATACAAAACCAAATTTGAATCCTGGCCATTGCTTGCGAACGCTGTTCTTCAAAAGTCTGTAGTTATTCTTGGCTCAAAATGACTCAGGTTACCAATTATTTCCATAATCACTTTACCCTTCTATTTCAGCACATAATTGGACCCCTCACAAAATCCAATCCTTGTGTTAAGATGTTTTCTTATCTGGTCAGGTTCTAGGGCGATTGGGGAAATATATTTGCATTTCGTCAACTGTTTAAGGCCATTTTATCTGCTTAATCCCTGGCTTCATTCCAAATAGAGTTGGACAATATGTCAACAAGCATTTCTGTCCACTGATGTGTGTCTGGTAGAGTACCAGACCACGGGGGACAGAGCCGTGAAAGATTGTGAGGGAGACATAGACCCAGGGATGGTGAAGGGTGGCTGAAACATGATGGCAGGCTTGACCATGCGTTGAATGTGAGAGGAATTCTGAGGGCTCCTATGCTTTGGACATCTTATATGGAGGGACCTGTCCCCTGGAGAAGTACATTAGGCTTGGTAAAGTAGGGGGTCAGTAAAAACGAGGAAAACTCTCAACGAGATGGATCAATATAGTGACTGTAACAATAAGTTTGAGCACATCAGCATTTATGAGGATGACGCAGGGCCATGCAGTGTTCTGTTCTGTTCTGTTCTACATCGGGCCACCATGAGTTGGACCCCACTTGATGCTACCTAACAACAATACAGCTGAAGCTCATTCTCTAGTTGACTCAACTACTGGGTTGGGCTTTGACCTGGTGGGAACCATAGTGCTGTGTGTCCTGTGGAAGCCTGGGCCCCTCATTTGATCTTAGCTCCCAGGGCAAAGCCCTGCTCTCTGCAGCCTCACAGTGTTTCAGCGAGTATAAAAAGGGGACAAGCAGGAAGAAAGTCCCTGGGAAAGATCAAAATGGGAGGATGCTGCCAAATGCCAGTTTATTACCTTAATTTCCTGACCAAATTTGGTCCTTTGATGTATGAGGCTATTCCCCTCCCTCCACCACAAATGTTTATGGTCTCTCTGGAAGGTATGTGGGAGGGCCTCTCCATCTCTCCTCTGATAGATGTCATTCCAACCATGCTTTCGAGTGGACATTGGGGCTTTTTCTTTCTGCTACTGTCCACACTCTCTTAGGAAAGTTGATGATCTCTCTGGATTCTATCCACTTTACCACTGAGCTGTGGGCAGGAAGTAGCTTGGCATTTAGGACCAGGGAATTCAACAGAGGCAGATATGGAGGCTAGAAATAGAATTTTGTTCCTCTCCTTCACCCCTACTCGCTCATCCTGAGTTGTGAATAAATTCTAGAGGCGGGTGGTATGCTTTCCTCTTCTTAACACCTTCCTTAAGCTTCTCTTTCTGCCATGAACTCCAAATACTGAAATCCTATTCAGGAACAATGGGAAGAAATGCAAATAGCTGATAAATACATGAAAATATGTTCCACTTCATTTGCTGTTGTTGTTTGGTGCCATTGAGCTGGTTCCATCATGTGGTGACCCTTGTGAAACAGTGTGAAATGTTGCTCTGTCTTGCACCAACCTCAAAATCACTGTTGGGCTCGGGCTGACTGCCGCAGCCACTGTACCAATAATCTCATTGAACGTCTTCCCCCGCCGCCCAACCTCCTGCTTTACCAGTCAAAATGTCCTTCTCCAGGGACTGGTCCTCATTGATAACACGCCCAAAGGAGCAGCCAGAAAACCCAGCTAAGATGACAGTGAGATGTTGAGCAATTTGACAGTTTTAAATGTGTAGAGTCTAGCAATCCTGATTGGAGAAATGTGTCCTGAGAATAGAGGTGGACACCTGCACAAAGAGAAATTAATGAAAACACAAACTATGGTACATACACACAATGGAATACTATGCAACATTGAAGAATAACAGAAGAGGTTACAAAACACTGCAAAACAGAGGACTATACACTGAGTGAAGTAAGGTAGTCAAAGAAGGACAGATACTGTATGAGTCTGCCACTAGAATCTAAAGAAAGCTTACCCAAGGAAAGAGACATTCTTAGAAGTTTACAAGGGCTAGGAAGGGAAGAAAAGGGGAGCAAAAATCAGTGGGGAAGGAGGGAAGGAAGAAAAAAGAAAGGAAAAAAAGGGCATATGTGCAAAAAGAAAGTGTGTGTGCATATATTTCAACTACTCGTAATCTCAATACAGGGTTATTTAGTACATTATGGAGCACCTCTACACTGGTATGCCATAAAGATTAAGAAGTGAGCAGTCTCGTGCTTTCTTCAGTGGGTTGTTATTGTCGTTATTAGGTGCCATCAAGTCAAGTATGACTCATAGCGACCCTACAACAGATAAGAACCCTGTCCTATCCTGTGCCATCTTCACCATCTCTGATACACTCGGGCCCATTGCTGCAGTCGCTATGTCAATCCACCTCAATGAGAGTCTTCCTCGCTTTCAATAATCCTCCACCTTTCCAAGCATGATTAATTTTCTGAAGAGTAGCCTCTTCTAGCAACATGCCCAACGTATGAGAGATGAAACTTTATCATCCTTGCCTCCAAAGAGCACTCTGGTTGTATCTTTTCTAAGACATATCTGTTAATTCTTTTGGCAACTCCTGGGATATAAAGTACTCTTCTCCAACACCACAACTAGAAGGCAACCTTTAACACCACTGACCCTCATGATCAAACCCTTGATAGCTTCTGCTGAGCGGGTGTAAGGAGACTTCAAAGGGCATGCCAAGGTTGACTGAGACCTAGGCGAAAGTAGAGAATTGAGTCTGTTTAAGAAGAGCAACATGCTTTGTGAGGGCTACACAGAGAATGAAAGAGAGCCAGAGGCACAACCTTTGCATTAGTAGGATGATACCTTATGTACTATGACACTAGAGCTCTCTAAGTAATTTATAAAGACATAGTAAGGTGGGTTGAAGAGGCATTTACAACAAGGGCATAATATCAATAAAGAAAGGGAAGACACAGGGAGATATCGAAGGATTAGTGGGAATTAGAATTAAGGGAGGAAATGGAAAGATGTGATTACACTGTGGGTATTGAAGGCAATGCTATAGAATAGAATGTTTATTGAATGGTTGAAGGACAATTTAACTTGCTTTATAAACTTTCATTCAAATCACAATAAAAACATGGTAATACAAAGAAAATAAAACAAAGCAAACAAAAAGAAGTGGTCTGATTTACCCTTTCAGGACCATGAAATAGATTGAATGGCAAGAGGAAAGTGAAATCAGAAAAGCATTCAGGAAGCTGTTTTGCATAGGGCGATCTATGCTAGGAGGGCTTGGAATTGGTGGGATTCAGACTCACACACAGTTCTGGATTTGAATGCCAGGTGTGGCAAGTACTTACTGGTGAATAACATGCTGTAGCACTGATTGAGCGATTGCTATGTGTTTTCCTATAGAACCCTCCCCAGACTAAGCTACTCTTATTCCGATTCAAAGGGATCAGACAGTAGAGTGGAGAGAGGAAGACATTTGTCCAAGATCCCAGTAGTGAATGCGGAGTCAAGATTTCTCTAATCAGTATTTGAGTTTTCAGTGCCAATGACTGGGGTAATCGGGCTGGGTGTGTCGGAGGCAGTGCGATTGGCACAGGATAGAGCAGGGTTTACGGCTGTTGTACATACGGTCGCTATGAGTTGCAAATGACTCGATGGCACACAACAACAACAACAACAAAACTGGGATAACCGTGATAGTGGTACTTTGCTGATTGGTGACTTCATCAAAGAACTCAAGACGCCTGGCGTAGAGCCTATTAAGTTGTTATGATATTCTTTGTGTTTTCCTGAATTTTGTACGGAGGAGACATTATTGGCATAAATCCTTCGGATTACAAAAGGGGCGGGTGTCTTGGAGATTGTCCGGGGCGTGGTCAGGGGCGGGGATCAGGGGGCGGAGCCAGGACGCCAGTTCCAGAACTGGAGGAGCCGAGGTTAGAGGCGGGGCCCGGAGGGATGGGGCGTGGTGTGGGCGTGCTGCGCATGCGCAGTGCTGCCCGTCTCTGCCCCGCCGCCTCCGCCCACTTGCGGCTGGGCAGCAGCGGGCGGCTGGGGCGCAGAGCTGGGCCAGGCTGGGCGAGCGCACGGCCATGGCCCCGTGGCTGCAGCTCTGCTCTGTCTTCTTCACGGTCAACGCCTGCCTCAACGGTTCGCAGCTGGCCGTGGCCGCGGGCGGTTCCGGACGCGCTCGGGGCGCCGACACCTGCGGCTGGAGGGTAAGGCGCGGGCGAGCGCACGGCTTACGGTCTGGTCTCCAGACTCTCCCGGGGCGCGGGGACGGCACGCACAGGTGCTGGAGCTGCAGAGCTCGCGCTGCTGTGCCGCTCTCCGCGGGGTCCGCTGCCGGGTCGCCGCAGCCCTCCCCGCTCTTTCCTTTGAGGGTGGGGGGGCTGCGACGCTGCCTGCCCCGGCCCGGGTGAAAGGGGCCGCTTGACCCCCGGCTTTGTGTTGCTAATGAGGCGCGGCTGCCGGCCCGGGTCCTGCTCCAGGAGGGCGGGCGGGAGGGGCGGTGAGGCGGGCATGGAGAGGGAGAGTTCCCCAACCTTTGTTCCTGGCTTCGGGCGGGGGTCTCCAGAGCGGTCCGGACCGGGAGCGCTTTGGAGTTGGAGGGGGTCCTTCATCCCAACCGCTGGTCCACTGCTCTACCAAGGCTCGGACAGGGGACTGTACGCGCTGGGCAGGGATGCGTCCCCATTGGGGGTGCTTTGTTCCTTCTATGTTGCGATCTTACCCAGACCAACCCACCCCTGGAACTCCTTGCTGAGAAGCTGCACTACTCCTCTCAGCCCTAGGTCTAGCAAATGGACTTAGCTGATCAAACTTGCCTTCTGACAACTTTCATCTTTGCGGGTGTTTTCACCGCCGAAGCACGCCCCGAGTTTGTCCTTCCGTCCGGGCCCCACAGGAGTCTGGGGAGCTTATCACACGTCCCCAGCGCGGGGCCGTGTGCTTTCGAAACCTAGCTCCCCAATTGATACTGTCGGGCAGTAGAGGATGGGGGAGAGGAGAAGGGACGGTACAAGCAGGTACGCCGGTCCCCTCTGGATCCTCACCTGGGCGTCTCTTGCGTCTTCTGGGCCCCAGAGGCACCTTCTGTCTGCCTTGAGGGTCGCGCAGAGGTCAGGGCGCACACAGTGTCTGATGCTCAAGGGCTTCAGCCTTGCGGAAGGGATACGATAGGGACACAGACTTTATGCCACAGATGCGAATCTGCACCACCCCACAAACCTCAGTTTATTTGGAAAAATGGGAGCAAATGGATTTTCTAGTTTCCATAGCGCTGCTGCGCCAAAGCAAGATTGTGGAATTTAGGCCATGCTGACCTACAGCTTCTGTGATACTAGAAACAGTCTCAGGGCATGCCTGACTTTAGGGCAAAGGCTGGTGTCACCATTCTGCTTGTTCCGTATTCAGAGACAGTGCAGAAAAACAGATGAAGGAGCCAGGCTGCTGGGTGTCCTTAGACCTGCAAACACAAGAGCCACCACCTTTGATTACAACCTTAGACTGTCTCTGTCTTTCTCCTTTAAGTAAAAGATCAGATTACTCTATTTCATTTTAGTAAAAATTGTGCATTTTTAAAAAAAACATATTTAAACTAAGTTTCCTCCAGTTTTCAGATTAAAAGACGTTTTCCTTAAAGCATACCTTCTGATCCTGCTGAATTTTTTAAAAATCTAGACTGTAGTAGGCTTGTGTTTAGCAGTAACGGTATCATACACATCTTGTTCTGAGTTTTCATGTGATGATGTAAGCAGACCAGTCCAATTTGGGATTTCTCTGTAGTTGCCTTGGTGAATTCATGTGCCAGTGCATACAGTTTGTGAAAAGTCTTAATGCTCTGAGTTTGATGTTGTCCACAGGAGCAGAGTGAGTTCCCTCCATCTATGGGAATAGATGCTCTTCCCTAGAAGAACACACACACTCACTCTGTCTCATATTAATGGTGGTCCTGCTAAGTGTTCCCTCCATCTGTGGGAATGAATGCTCTTCCCTAGAAGATCACACACACATACACACCACACACCCCATCTCATGTTAATGGTGGTCCTACTAATCACCTGGCACTGTTGCTTATGATCTCCTTCCCCTACCACAACCCATAGCTGGAGGTAGATCTTTCCAGTAGCTCCTGTTTTGACCCCTGCAGTGTCCATGTTAAGTTGGCTTCTGTTTCCTGGGATGAGCACAGTAGCCTCTAGACATCTCCCAGATTTTAACCTCACAAATGACTCCTTCCTACCAGAAACTGTCTTTTGGTGCCTCTGATAGAGCTACGCACTGTCCCTGACCCATCTTCCCATCTTACCCTCATTTCCAATCTCCTTGCCTGTATCTCCCACACTATCCCTTAACTCCTGACTCTAACAAAGCTTTACAAGTACTTTTCTGTGCACTTGTGCTTTTTTTTTGGCCCTGAGAATCCTTGTTGGGTCTAAGACTCAGGTTGCAAACCAAGTGCATTATCTAGATTTCTTCACCCTGTGTCTGGACTAGTGTTTTTAGCCGGGCACTGAAGCTCCTCTTGGTGGCCTCTGAGCCTGCAACCGTGTATAACTTTTAGCTATACTCAGAGTCTGGCAGCCTGTTTGCAACATCTTTTAAGTGGTAGATTTAAGAAGTTGGAGGAGAGATTAGAGCACCAAGCTCTAGTGACTTCTCCGCAGTAGGCCTCTGCATGAGCTGTTTTTGCCTGTGTCCCTTCTCAGAGAAGACTTCCACTCTCAGTTCCAGCATCTCCTCCTTCAGGAAGTCTCCTCTGCCCCCAGCTTGGTAGGCCAGGTCTCCCAGAAGCTTCTGGACAGTTAGCACTGGTATACAGCAGCCTGGATATTTGATTCATGTCTGGATCCCCTACCAGACTGTGCACTCTATGAGGCAAGGAACAGCTAGCTGATTAAGAAATACTGTTTCCCCAAAATGCCTTTATGCAGCGCCGTCTATCCAGACTTCTTGATAATGGAGGATGTATTTGTGTGTGTGTGTGTGTGTGTGTGTGTGTGTGTGTGT